TATCTAATAGAAGTGTTACTTGATTCTGTACAACAAAGTCATATACTTTAACCTGTGAAAGACACCCAGAGATTTTTTCTTCACTTTCCTCCCCAAACTCTCAAAAGCAGCTTGAAGGCATAACATCTTTACTTCTTCTAGTTTAGAAACACAGAACAAGAAATGAAAACCACTGTCTGATCCTGAGGTAACAAAAGACTTCCATGCCCACTCCAAGCTAAAGGGAAATAATTTAAATCATGTGCAGCATCTTATATACACCCTTAGTTTACACTGAGTACTTTTGTCTGGTGGCCTATCCAAAACTCCCAGTAGTTTTGTTAGTGGGGAAACTGACAAACAATTGAACTACCTTTCCGACTGAAAAATTTGCTAGCACAATTGCAGCCTAGAATCACAGAAGTGTAACAAGACATGAGTTTCCAATAATGGTAGAACAGGTTGTCTACAGGGTTCAGCATAGAAGAAGGAAAAGTCAGCTATGTTTGTTATCAAAGAGATCACTCTTGAAATTAAAACTAGTCTGTTACTTGCTAGTTGGTTCCCCACCTCTCTGTCTCTAAGAGTCACTACCACACAGGCCATTTCATCAGACAGGCCTAGAACTGATTTTGAATGGATGGTAAGTCTTTGCGTGAAGATGTCCAGAGTGGTACTAGCTTATTGTTTGTTATAAATCAGGTCAATAATGTAATTAAGTTTTTCTGAACGCTATAGATGGATGTGCATTTCTTAAAAAAAATGAAGTGTTTTATTTCCATTTCTGCTATATATGTAAAGGGCTATTAATTGCTACCTATATCAAGATTCTGTTAAAATGGTAAATAAACCTTTATGATAATTTTGATAGAATGATAGCCACTAACATTTTATTTTAAATAACATTTTGATGTAGCGATATTTGAGAAAAAGTAGCTCAACTTTCCCAGTTCTGTTTTTTTCCCCCTCAGGTGGCTCTTGCTAAGACATCCATTGTAACAGTTAAAAAGATAGAGATTTTCTATATAATCTTGATGATACTGCTATATAATGTGTGGGCCACTAGTCAAGGCGAACACTTAAGATCTTTATATACTAAAGTAAGAAAAGCCTTGGTGTAATGACAAAGAAAGAACTACCAGTGTAGAAAGTTATTAAACATTACCAGTAGCCCAAGGGCACTGTAGTCTTGAATGGAGATCTTTAAAAAGGCAGAGGTGCAGAGAGAAATGTGTACTCCATTAATACCATGAAATACAATAAGAAGGGAACTCAAACATAAATGAAGAGCTGGATTGCACTGCACATTGCTACAATAAATATTCTTCTGACAGAAAACAAAAGGTGAAGCAGAAAGATATCTATGCCAAATGTAAAAGAGAAATCCATACATTGGCTAAACTGTTCATCCTTGCTAGACTGTGATCCTTATAATGCTGCCAAGTGCACTGAGAGATACTGTGTTACAATTGCCAGTCATATATGCTAAAGCTACCTGGAGGCACCATTAACTGGCACATTTCTCCTTGCCAGAAGTTGTCAAAAGTTTTTATTTGTTCTGGCCAAGGTATGTCATTTTATGGCTGTTATCATGTTCATTGGGCTGAACATCTACTATCCCAATAGGCAGGTTTGCACATGCCCCTTATGCTTTCATTAAAATCAAATGAATAAATAAAAAGAAAGATAAGAGGCAAGTTTGGAGAAATAAATATATAGTGAAATCGTCATTTATAAAAGAACCACACTGATTTATCCACTGCAATTTCTGGAAGTGATATTGGAAGCACAGCTATAACTTTACCCATGGCAAGGAAGAAGGGGCATATCTCAGAAAATGGATGTGATGAAATACAAATATTTTAATGCTCTTGAAAAAATAAAAACCAGAATAAGTTGAAATATGTTGAGAATTCAATCCTAGGTAGTGGTAGATGGTTCTATCTGAGGACACAAAGAAAAAATATCTGCTGCGAACTTTGTGAGGCAACAGCAAAGACATCCAGCCAGTAAACACTCAGCTCCATCCAGTCACCCCAAATTAAGGAATTACAGAGTCATAAAAAGGGAGCGTTTTTTTAATGCTAAAATTTTTGGGGGGTTAATGTTGGGATCTTTATGTTGGCCACATTTGCAAATGTTGGTGTATATTCTGGCTGCCAAACAACAAATGTAAATATAAAGAACTTCAGAAGGATCTCTTCAAAATAGATAAATGTTCAATGAAATGCCAAATGGGATTCCGTTTCAGTTAGTGTAAAGTGATGTACATTGAGATAGAAAATACTAAGTTCACCTATACAGTGATGTAATTAAATATCACTAACCAAGAAAAAAGTTGAAGGATCATTTTGGGTATCTTAGTGAAGATATCTATTCAACATTAATCTGTGTTACATTTGCACCTGGAAGAGTTTACATAATTTTGGTGGTCAAATTTGTGTGTTTCTGGATTGTGTGCCCATTCTATATAAGCAATGGTTTGAACATTTGGGATTCTTTAGCTTGAAAAAAGTACCAGGGCCAATAGTTATCCAGTGAAGTTTATTGGAAGAAATTTTGGAACATAAAAAATTATAATGTATTATTATAATATAAACATATAACCAACCTGAGGAGTTCACAAAAATTGATGACCACGTTGATAGATTTAAATGGCAATTGGATAAATTAATGGCAGATGTGTTCATTGTGAGCTATTAATTTTTCAATAGATTGTCTTTGAACATGGGAAAATGTGCAAGACAAAGTGGTAGAATGAATACTTTTGATGAGAAGCTTATGATACTCTAAGATCTGACATAATCATTTTTAGTTCAGCATGCATAAGAGAAGAGATATTATCTAAATTTTGCTTAGATTTACAAATAATGGAACAATTTCTTCCCTATATGCATATAAAAACTTCAAACAAACTGCTAGTGTCAAACACAAATATATTCACACCTGTGATAAGTCTGATCTAAAAATCTTCAGATCATTCATATAAAAATATTATAATGCAATTCTTATAAATTAAACAAATGAATTTACACTAGATTGTAAGCATTTTTTAGTTTGTATTTTTACTTATTCAAATTGGATAATCAAATCAGATCAATATAAAAGGGATGCGGCGGCTCAGTGTCTAAGATGTTGCGCTTGTCGATCAAAAGGTTGGCAGATCAGCGGTTCGAATCCCTAGTGCCGGGTAATGGGGTGAGCTCCCATTACTTGTCCCAGCTTCTGCCAATCTAGCAGTTCAAAAGCACGTAAAAATATGCAAGTAGAAAAATAGGGACCATCTTTGATGGGAAGGTAACAGCGTTCTGTGCATCTTTGGTGTTTAGTCATGCCGGCCACATGACCACGGAGACATCTTCGGACAGCGCTGGCTCTTCGGCTTTGAAACAGAGATCAGCACCGCCCCCTAGAGTCAGGAACGGCTAGCACATATGTGCGAGGGGAACCTTTACCTTTATGATTCAATAAGCCCTCACTTTAATCAATTAATGCAAAGAAAGCATGTCTATTAGAACCAAATATCCATTAAATGCACTGATGTTTGCTAAATTGAAGTCTTGTAAATCAAGAGTTTACTATTGTTAACAGATAAAGCAAAAACAACATTAGTTCATGCATGGAAATGTCCAAAATTGTCTGAATTGGTTTGGAGGCTTCAGTTTAACAGTCTGAATTGATTTTCTGATTCCATTCAAAGAATTAGTTCACTTTGGAAACACAATCAAACTGCTTTTGAAGAGAATCTGCAAACTGAATATTCACACAGAGCTGGGGACTGGATGGAATTTCCGTCATCTTTGGGAACTACTCGAGTTTTTGAGCTGTGATAACATACCTGGCCACTGATTTAGAAAAAAAAAAAATCTTGTATTTTATTATGTGTAAAATAACTGATATACATTATTCCCAATCCTAAAGATTAATAGCTTGATTTACAAAAAAATGCCTCTGTTGAAGACAGATTATAGCCGTGATGTCATTTCAACCAGCCAATCAGATTAGTTTTCTGTCATTTCCATTCAGCTTCAGGAATCCTAGAATACTGAAGAAAACTATCAATTGGTATATTCCATGTTTTTTAAAGCAGTATTAACAGTTAATACATATGATGATTAGGAATATGGCTCAAGAATTCTGGGAGTTGAAGTCCACAAGTCATAAAAGAGCCATGGTTCCCCACCCCTGATTTATATAAAATTATTTTCAGAAACTAAAATGGTTGCTTATGATTTCTTTGAAAGTTAATCAGCCACAATAACCCAATTTAAGAAGCACCATTTGTAGTATATGTATTGGCATCTCTTTCTTCTGGATCCAGATCCAACTGGTCTATTGTGGTTTGAATTTCTGATTTGTGACAAAAATCATCCCTATTAACTTTTGTACAAGAAACTAGGTCTGATCATAATATAATTATTGAATTATTTATATTCTTAAAATATCAATTAATGTTCAACAACTGAGAAATAGAAACTTTGAAGATCCCAAAACATTTTGGTTTTATGAAAAATTGAATATTTAAAAAAGACCCAGCAAAAGCCTAAAATGAAAGAAATATGTTTCATTCTTACATCCCAAAAAACCTCCTTAACACATTAACTGTCCCTGTTCTGTCACCTGTTTTAAAGTTAACAAATGCATGACATATAATAGAAGATTTATAAATTTAAAAAACCACCCCTTTTAAGTAATATTCTTTAAATCTTACTTTTTGACAGTCATACTATTTGCTCAGTAACTGTAAGAGGCGTATGTTTTAAGAAAATTGTGAATAAAAACTGACAAGCTATCAGGGGAATCTGAATGCATAATTGATAGGGGCATAAATTAATATGATTAGGCCTTTATTGGGCACTGTTACTGCAAGACCTACAAAAGGGGCACAGAATAAAACATGGCTATGTTCCCTGTGCTGATAGGCATCAATATGTAATGCATATTATCTCCAGCCTTCTCATGAAGCTTGCTTATGACAGCACTCACCCTAATTGAAATTTTTATCTTTCTCCTGCATACAGACAGTTCTGACTAGCAGCTTGCATGGATACAGAAAGAAAATCTAAATGACCCCAATGAAGGTTTCTTTAGAGGTATGGATTTTAAAAAGGAATCCACACAAGTACCTTTAACATTTATGGTTTACCTTATCCTGTTAAAGATGACCCTAGTTATGCTTTCTATATTGGAAAAAAAATACTCAAGGATGTTATAGATTTCTGCATAAAATGTATATTCTGCATTCATAATTTTGATTAAAATTATAATTGCATTTGCATTATATTAATCTTGAAGGGTTGCTGTGAAAACAGAGACTGCCATTATGAAGGTGACCAAGCTGAAAGTTAATGCAGACAAGATTGAAATAGTTTTCATTTAGTAACAACAGTTGGGACTAGTGAAGTAGTCACTAAGCGAAACTGCAACTGTACTTATGAGCCTACTTCAGTTTTCTTTTGCTTCACAGACCTTCAAAGATCAAGCTGTTATATTTAAAGCCTTTCATGAACATCAGTATCTTCAGGAACATTTTCATTCAATTATCTCTATTTATCTACCTGATATGATCACATAGGATTTCTGGAATCTTTGGGGTAAGCCTTTTCAGTTGCTGCTCCTTTTTTTTTTTTTAATAGTATTCTTCTGTAGTGGAGTATGGCTTTAGGAAATCTATTAAATTCTGACTTTTCCAGCAGGCCTGGGGGATGTACATGGCATGAAGTACATCATGTTTCAGTGTATTTCAAATCAAGTATGACCCACTGGAGTCAAATGACAATTCACTCCAGTATTTTACCCAGAAACACTGGAAGCTGACTCACACAACCCCTCTGTCCAGCCAGAAGATATCCAACAAGCTACTGAGGAAAAGCAGAGGGCAATCACAACTAATGCTTCTGCATATGATGTAGCTGCACTGAAGACATCCAGCTATTGTTGTGGCCAAAGGCAAAGAGAAGTCTGATGCTACACGGACATCTAAATTAATGATCTGTGGAATGTCAAAACTGAAAACCAAAACAAGCCTGATGTACCTGGAGAAGAAGTATCAAGACTGATCAGGAACATTCATTATTGGACTGGACTGCACCGGATCATTTAGTATAAGGAAAGTAGAAGATAACCCACTGGAGACAAGAAAATCATAGAAAAAAAATAGAATCGCCATCATTATTAAGAAAGGAGTCTCAAAGACAGAGCTCAGATACAAGCCCCAAAATGATTGAATGATCTCAGAGCCCAGTGCAAGCCAATCGTTATTATGGTGATCCACATCAATGCTCCAATCACAGATACAGAGGAAACAGATGCAGAATGGTTCTACAGCAGTGGTGAAATCCAGCAGGTTCTGACAGGTTCTGGAGAACTGGTAGCGGAAATTTTGGCTGGCAAATACCATCTCTGGCTGGCCCAGAGTGGGGAGGGAATGGAGATTTTGCAGTATCCTTCCCCTGCCACGCCCACCAAGCCACACCACGCCCACCAAGCCATACCACGCCCACCAAGCCACGCCCACAGAACTGGTAGTAAAAAAATTTGGATTTCACCACTATTCTACAGCCACCTGCAGTATCTTATTGATGCAACCAAGACTTCATTATTTATTATTTTATTTATTTTTTAAATTTTTATACCGCCCCCTCTCCCGAAGGACTCAGGCCGGTGAACAGCCAAGATTAAGAAACATCCAATACAAACATTAAAATGCATTTAAAACAAAATTAAATCCAATGGCTTCCCCCAATTTAAAACCCCTTACCCATAAAATTCACCAATAAAAATTCTAAGCCATTTCATATTGACTATAGGAGAGTGGAATGCTAAAATCGTAGTAAATAGTAAAATAGCAACAAAGAAATGTCATGAGTTGATGGAAAAACCTGTGTTTCTCTTTAATACCTTTAAGGGCCTAGCCCTTACCTTATTTGGGGAACTGGCCCCCTTTTAAGGTCTCAGCGCAGGGGTGAAATGGTCCCGGTTCGGACTGGCTCAGGCAAGTAGGTAGCGATGGCGGCAGGCAGTTCGGAGAACCGGTAGCAAAAATCCCTGCCCCGCCCTCCATGCCCAGCTGAGCCGCGCAATCATCAGAGGTTTTTTTTTCTTTTAAATGCCTCTGACGAGCCAAGCTCTGACGAGCCAAGCTCTGATGATCCCAGCTGAGTTGCCTGCCGATCAGGCAACTCAGCTTGGATCGTCAGAGCCATTTAAAAGAAAAAAAACTTTTTTTCTTTTAAATGGCTCTGACGATCCAAGCTCTGACGATCCTAGCTGAGTTGCCTGACTGGCAGAGGGTTTTTTAAAAACCCTCTGATGATCAGGCAACTCAGCTGGGATCGTCAGAGCCTTTTCAAAGCATTTTTTACATGGTTTTACATGTAAAAAATGGTTTTAAAAGTTAAAATAAAAATTGGCCATGCTCACCCAGTCACATTAACCCCCCCCACCAAGCCACGCCCACAGAACCGGTAGTAACAAATTTTAGATTTCACCACTGTCTCAGCTGAAATAGAAGCTATGGAGACATGAAAGAATAGAAGAGTCAAAGGAGAAAAGGAAAGGGGATGCTGAAAAAGATAAAATGAGAAAAGTACATAAGGTAACAAAAGAGTGGCAATTGCTGGTCGGTGCAATATAGAACGAAGGCAACAAAATGCCTTCTGATGTCAACTGACATCCCCTTTGCAACCCAGATATATGCTGGCAAAGTGAAACCAATGGAGCCTAAAAAGACTTGGGAGATTTGGCAACTATGATAAAGCTTCCCAAAGTCTCCATCATAACCAGGCTTAGATAACCCATAAACGAATGAGATCCTGGGTCCTTAAAGATGACTCCGAAGTTGGCAGTTGAGTGTGGTCTGAATGTAGGTATTTTGGAGAATTTGGGCAGTGAAAACTAAGATGTATAGGGACACTTTTAATGTAAGATGGTCCTTAATTGCTTGTCAATCCAAGCAGTTGTTACTTTAAAATTAATAAAGACCTGGTAGTTAAATATTCAATGATCTAAGATATACTTATTTCATTTTTAAAGTGATATAGTCAGAAAATGGACTCTTTGACACCAGAAAATAGGCACAGCTTTAGAGGGCTCATTTGGTGGTTCGAGAGCATTACCTCTTCTGCTATTCACCAAAGAAAATGATCAAAGTTATAGGACCATTCAAAATATGCAAAGTTTTTTGGAAAATCTACTCAGTGTTAATATTTTCACTCAGTAAAACCTGCCAAGCAATTTAACACAGTGACAAATCCATAATATCAAAATGAAAGATTTTTACATGTTCGTTAAATACTCTAAATGAATCCATGCTTTTGCAGGCATCATTTATGGAAAATTGCTGAGTAAATCCTTTGGACTTTATACCATCACATTCATCCTTGTTCCAAGTAATGTAATTCAAGCACAGTATTGATATTTCTCTCCAGGTTTTTAAAGGAGGAGGAGGGGTGGCCCATCAAATGCAAACTGGTGGCTAGGCTACATTTGATGCAAGTTTTATATTTATCTTCTCATAGAAGTATACAGAAGATGTACTTAGCCATATTGATCTTTGAGGAAATGTAGACAAAATAGATAATGTGAAACTTTTATTGTCATTACTGACTGTTATATAGGATCTTAGAAAAAAAATAATAAAGCCATTTAACTAGATTTGTTGTAATACTTTTGCTATGTTACTACAAAGGAGTTAACCTGCAGCTGCCAAACTAATTTCCCTGGAGCAGCACATTATAATAAAAAGAAAACTGTGTCAAAAATAAGTGGTTTAAGAAGGTTGAGGTATATTGTATTTAAAATGGGAATACGTTAAATAATATATCTGTACAGTGGAATATCCTGCAGAAAAAGGAAGAGAAGGTAACATCCATTTCTTTGGTAAAATGTTTTCAAACAGATTCTAGAAAGATGAATCTCCTTTTCAAAACTGGAAATTAATAAGGGAAGAAATAGTAATAGATTACTTAAATAAAAATAATAACTTTGGTGGACATTGCTATATATTAAAATGTATAGCATTTGAATTTCCTCGAATTTTAACAGTCCAAATAAAGGCAAGTTTATTTCCAGGATAACTATAAAATTATAGTTACCATTTTTTGCCTTTAATGACATTCTTCAGTTAATTCAAGCTGAATGTCCCAAGGTCAACGGATCTTTTAGAATTAAAGTGTTCTAAAGGTTTTAAGCCTATGATCTCGTGGAAGCTTAAATCTACACATTTGGTGGGTGCTATGTTGAGGGAAAGCTAGTTTAAAAAGCATAGACTACATGTTGTTTTATAAACATGCACAAAGCAAATGCAGCAATTCTAAATAAATGTGTAAATTGGCTTCATTGAAAAATAACATGTTTAAGGCATTATGGAAGTAGTTTATTTTGTTTGATTTGTAATGATTTTCTCATAAATTGCTGGAGATTTACTATTAACACGTTGTTAGAGAGATAGGAAGATACTTATAAAAAGTTAAATCACACATATTGTTTGCATCAACCTTTAGTGATCAACCTTTATTGTTTCAGTAGCTCTATCAGAAGTGTAGAGACTGAACTTTGGCCCTTGTCCATTTAAAGTACAGCTCATAAACCTTCCTTCTTAATGGATCAAATGCTCAAAAATGATAAATAACATTAGAACATGTTAAGATGTTTAAGCATTACTTCCATTTTTATAAAACTTACCGTATTTTTTGCACTATAAGATGCACTGGACCATAAGACCAGTACGCTCCCATAGAGAGGGGCTTCTCAGGTGCTGTCAGCCAAACAGTGTTGACTGGCGGCCCCCAGGGAGAGAGCCTTCTCTGTGGGGGCACCTACCATCTGGAACGAGCTCCCCCCGGAGATACGGAGGATCCCAGATCTGCGCACGTTTTGTCGTGCTCTCAAAACATTTTTATTTCAGCAGGCTGGCCTGGCTTAACTCTCCCTTTTAAATTTTTAAATTGTTTAATCTGTTTTACAAATTGGGTGTTTTAAATTTGTTTTCGGCCAAAATATTTAATAATTTTAATGGACTTTTAATGTTTGTATTATCTGTGTTTTATCTTGGCTGTTCACTGCCCTGAGTCCCCCGGGAGTAGGGCGGCATAGAAATTAAATAAATAAATAAATAAATAAATAAATAAATAAATAAATAAATAAGACGCAGATTAGCTTTAGAGGAGGAAAAGAAAAAAAAATCTGTCTCTGTCTCCCAGCATCCATTTGACTAGCATCCTTGCAACAAACAGCAAACAGCCTAGTCAACTTCAGCACATTATTGCAGCCCCAGCACATGGCTCGTCAGGGCTCCGCTCCTTTGCACCCACCACCAGTCAGCTGAGTTGAGCTGCTGCCATCGGTGGGGAACAATAGAGCCTTTGCTGCTGAGCAGCTGATTGGTGGTTGGATCGGCCTTTCGGAATACCGCTGATCAGCTGTTCTAGGGATCAGGTAGGGATTGCCACTGCCGCTGCCTATTGACGGGAGCGATCCTTGCCGCCTAGAATAGCTGATCCACAGTATTCCGAGAGGCTGATACAACCGCCAATCAGCTGCTCGGCAGCGAAGGCTCCAGCATTCCCCAGGGGCGACGAACAGTGGCACCAGTGAAAGGTGGCAGTTGTGACAGGCAGCGGTGAAGGCCATTGCCACACCAACCCCCTCCCCTCACCACAATATTAGCTCTATAAGATGCACAGACATCTCCACCTACTTTTTTGAGGTGGGGGGAAGTGCATCTTATAGTGCGAAAAATACAATAATAAAGTGCATGTGTTGGTGAGAATCTCTATAGCAAAGTGATCAGAGAGCTAGACACGAATCGTATAGTACTGATTGGCCATGGAACTATAAAATTCATTAGGTGGCATTGAGCCAATTACTGCTGTTCAAAATCCAATAATTTTGGAAAAATAAAAATGAATGATCTTACAGTAGATATGCCAGTCAGAAACAGGTAGAATGCAATTATAATAATATTAGCCATTGACATTGTTGACATTTTTTAATATCTCAAGAAGAACCACTAATCATTTTTAAGATTAATTTAATAAATAAATAAACAAATAAAGCTATAAATAAATAAATAATCTGAGTATGAAGGATGTGATGGAAATGAAGCATGTTCTTATTAATGGTATTAAAAGCTATGCGAATTATTTTACTAGTCTTAATGACAACTGTGAAATGTTTATTTAAAAAGCAACAATAAACTGTAACTTGTCAAATTAAACTAATCATGTTCCAGACTTGTATAACAGCTGAGAAAGATATATCAGAGCTAAACTGGAATTATTTTAGCAAACATATGTTCCCAGACCCACATTTGCTAATATGAGCATATGTACTGATATGGCACTTGTAGAGAAATTAAACAAACAAATAAAAGAAACTAGTGAATCCGTTGCAGAGCTTCTAATCATTCCTCAAATAATTGGAAGGCTTTTTATTGTGGTAATTTTGTCCTGAAAACTTTCGTCCCGCATATCCTTTCCATATCAGTCCCACCCAGTGGTGGGTTGCTCCCGGTTCTGTCCGGTTCTGTAGAACTGGTAGTAAAATCGGCGGGAGCCCTGCCTCCTGCCACTACGTCATTGTGGG